TTGTCGGGCTTAGGTGAAAGAAGTCTGAAAGAAAAGAGAGGTGGTCATAACGAGTGGTAAGTACTATTTGTTGAGATCTGGGTCATATCCAATTGCAGGAGGAGTCCGGAAGGAGGAGAATCCTACTATAGCAGGTCGAACATAGGTACCAAGTTGGTAACCTGGTTAGTTGTAACTTGTAATTTTGATAACAATTTGGCCTATAGCACTTGTTGTTTAAAGATAGTTTTTATACACTATTTGCTAACAAGTTAAGAGTTTATTACTTACCTTCTAAAATGCTTGGTTTTAAAATTTTACATATTCTAGATGAGTTGTACAAAGTCTAATAAAGTTAAGATATAACTGCCAAATTATTAAAAAAAAAATTGTTATTATATGTAGAAAGATAGATAAATATAAAAAATATATATATAAAAATATAAGTTATAAATGTTTAATTTTTTGTAATTTTAGGGTACAGATTATATTAAATTATATGCAGAAAGTTTGGGATATAGTAATAATAAAGTTAGCCAAAAAGGTATTATATAAATAATAGGCTTTTGTATAATAATTGGCAAATTTGTATAAAATTGATTGTTAAAATAAAAAATATAAAAGGATAATTAGAATTTTTATAATATAAAGTTAATTTGGATTAATTTGGAAGTAGTCAGATATTACACAAAATCATGTATAGTAGAAAGAACAAAATAACAAAAAAGTTATAAAGAGTGAGTAAAAGAGAGTTAAAATATTTTAAAGTGTAACTTTGTCAATTTTAAAGCTACAGAGATGAAATATAGCTTATTATGACTTTAATTATTGAAGAAAAGAGATTTAGAATTAGGTTAAAGAGCAAATAGCAAAAGTTTGAATTTTTTTGTCTAAAAAATATTTTAGAACTTTACTCTATAAATATAAGAGCTATAAATAATTTATAATTGAAATTAGAGTTATTCTAAATTATAATTGAAACTATAATATAAACTTATTTAGCTATATACTTTTAGTAGTTACCAGAATGATCAATTCTATAACAGATTTTTTAAGCATTTTATAATAAAAATTATAATAATTTCAAATGCAAATAAACTTAACCTAAACTACATTGTTGTTACTAGCAGTGTATAAAATCTATATATTTATAAGCACATGTTTTTAAAAATTTTCACATGTTATTAACTAAAATATACATAATATTCACAAGATTTATAGCCAAATAGTACACCAAATTTATTAATAAAATCTTAACTATATATATATAAAGTATATTTTACTCATAGTCTATTTTTATATATATAAATTAAATAGATATTTATATAAAATAGTTTATATTTACTTAATACTTTAATAGTTCTTTCTCTAAATTTTATTTATAGTTAAATAACTTAATAGGATAAGTGTTACAAAGTTAAGGGATACTACTAAAATCTAACTAAATAACAAATACTAGCTTGTATATTATTTTTATTTTATAATAACAAATATAAATTGAGTATTATTTATTTCTTTATTACAGTTGTGCTTTTTGTATATAAGATTTTAAAACTAACTAACTTCTTCAATGTTTCATTTCTTATTTATATTTATATATTATACAATTGCATTATGTTTAATACTACTGTTAATTTTATACTAAGTTTAATTTGACTTTAATATTATTTTGCATAGTTTAATTTAACTTTTGATCATTACTATTACCATTACTTATATAATAGTAAGCTTATTTTATTTATATATATTGATATATATAGTATATATATACATAAATTATATTTTGTAAATTCTAAGTGAATATAAATTATAAATTGTTTATTTTATATATAAATTGCAGTAATAAACTATTTTTCATAAATAGTTTTATAAAATTGTCATGTTAAATTATAAATAGATAAATATAAGCCTAATTTAGAAAATGTTGAACAACAACTATATAGAATAGTTATATAGTTTTGAATCTATATATATATAGTCATCCTCTCATATAATCACACAGTTGGGCACATAGTAACTTTTTTAAAAATGTGCTTAAAGAGAGGTTGTACTTATAAGAAGGTTTTTTTCTTATAAATTAAATTATAGTTTGGCCTAAATAAAAATGTGATTACATATAATGTGATTATATAGGAGATGACTATATGGAGGGATGACTGTATATCGAATATACAACCAAATATATTATACTATATTTTTCCAAAAATAAGCTATTATCTAAAATAAGCTACCCTCCTTTTATACAAAAAACCTAAAATCTTTTTTATTCCAAAATAAGCTGTACCCAAATTTTTAAAAATTTTTTAACAGTTGCTATATATAAAAGTCAAAATTATACTAAGTAAATATATATTTTGCACTTAATTAAAGATATTCAGAATATAAAAATACACATTTTCTGACTTTTTATTAATACATTTTTGCATTTTAAGTTCAAATTTATATGCAAAACTGTACTAATAAAAAGTTATTCAAATTGTAAAAATTTTAGTTATATATATTTCTATATTCTAAACAATGTTTATTTAGTGCAAAGCATATATTTACTTAGTACAAATTTAACCTTTATATATAAAACTATTTTTACTTAATAAAAAATCAATTTGTTTCTAAAATAAGCTATCTTGGGAATTTTCATGTGATTTTAGCCCAAAAATAGTAGCTTATTTTGGAAAATATAATAACTTTATTGATATGAGATGCTATAATTTAAACAAGTAAGAAATTTTATATAATTTTATTATACCAATTTGCTATAATTTTCTAATGCTAACTCTAATAATATATATCATATTGTCGCAAAATAATAGGCTAGACATTATTTAGAAAATCATGCCTACTAAAAATAGCATCTATAGTTTTAAAATAACACCTCAGCATGTCTTCAAATAACGCATCCACTATATCTAGTTAGGTAACAATCATTTATAGACACCACATTTTACTGGCAATTTTCATTTAACATTCCCCCAAATCAGCTGTAAATTACTATTGTTTCGAATAATGCCCTAGTGCATACTCTAAATAATGCGTCTATACTCAAAATAATACACCAGGGTGTGTTATTTCACAAAAATATAGTAATACCAGATAAGTTAATAAAAATACAACAAACTGTTTCTAATTAAATTTTTTTAAAACTTTGAACAAAAATAATTTAATAATAACTTAATAAAAATTGTTTTAAAATAATTCAAATAATTTATAAAAAATATTTAAATAGATTTGATCAAATTTTTGTTGAGTTATACTAGCTCTTAGGACCTGGTGTTGCTTGGGTTCTAGTTTCTAATTTTTTCTAATTCTTAGACTTTAACTATATTAACTTTTAGAACCTAGTACAGTCAGACCTCTCTATAGTCACATCTTCAGGATACAAAAAGTAGTAATTATATAGAGATGTGACTAATATAAAGTGCACGCTATATAGCACAGCTATATTAAAAATAATATTCTGTGACTATATAGAAGTTTTATTAAACAAATTTTTTCTAATTTTATAGTCACTTTATTAATATAATATTATCTCCGGCTCAGGTTTTTCAGCAACTATTGTATCAAATTAGCTGAAATTTTTATTGAAGATAAATATGCTATGGGGCTACATTATATTAAAATTTAAGCTAATATAGATTAGTAGTTTCCAAGAAATTGCTCAAAAACTATAAGTAGTATTTTTTAAAAAAATTGCTTATCGTTTTTGAGCAATTTCTCAAGAACTACTAATCTAAATTAGCTAAAATTTTAATATGTATTAGCCACATAACATATTTATCTTCAGTTAAAATTTCAGCTAATTTGATGTAGTAGTTATTGAGAAAATTAGAGCCGGAGGTTAATATAAAATTATATTTTTTTTATATATTTTTAATATTTAGATTTAAATTAACTCCTGGCTCTGGTTTCTCAACACCTACCATACCAAATTAGCTGAAATTTTAACTTAAGGTAATTATTTTATGGAGCTAAAACATATTAAAATTTCAGCCAATTTGGATTAGTAGTTTCTGAGAAATTGCTCAAAAACGATAAGTAGTATTTTTTAAAAAATTGCTTATCGTTTTTGAGCAATTTCTCAAAAATTACTAATCCAAATTGACTGAAATTTTAATATGTTTTAGCCACATAACATATTTACCCTCATTAAAATTTCAGCTAATTTGGTGTGGTAGTTGTTGAGAAAACCAGAGCTGGAGGATAATATAAATCTAAATATTAAAAATATGCAAAAAAAATATAATTTTATATTAACCTCTGGCTCTGGTTTCTCAACACTACCATACCAAATTAGCTGAAATTTTAGCTGTAGGTAAATATGTTATGTGGCTAAAACATATTAAAATTTTAGTCAATTTGGATTAGTAGTTCTTGAGAAATTGCTCAAAAATGATAAGCAATTTTTTAAAAAATACTACTTATAATTTTCGAGCAATTTCTCAGGAACTACTAATCCAAATTGGCTGAAATTTAAATATGATGTAGCTCTATAGCTTAGCTATTTGCAGTAAAAATTTCAGCTAATTTAGTATAGTAGTTGCTGAGAAAACTAGAGCCGGAGGTAATATTATATTAATAAAGTGACTATATAGAGAATATTTTTATATAGGATAGTGACTATAAGCCATTTGTGCTTATATAAAGGTATAATTATTGTAAAAAAGGTTGGTAAAAATAAAATTGTGATTATATTGATTTTGTAACTATAGAGGAGGTGACTATAAAGAGGTCTGACTGTATTTCTAGTTTTGAATTTTTAATTTTTTGCTAATTATTAAGCCTATATTAAAAATTTTAATTTTTTTATTTATATATAATTAATTACAAATATTATAAAGTGCGCCTATGGTGTTCAACACCAATGGTCACGTGTATTATTTAATATATATAAATTATTATTTAATAAATTAATAAAATAAAATTACCGATTATCATTTGTGCAACGCGTCATAACGCGTCGCCATATAAAAGCTTTTTTAATGACATTTTACTCTTTTTACCCTTTTGCTTTTTCTATTGCACCAATGAATAACTCACCTTTTCTTCAAAACGGGTTTAACTCACCATCGCTTTATACTAATAATGATTCTTGCCCACCTTTCCTTTCTACTAACGACGGTTTTAACTCACCTCTAATTCATACAAGTGACGCTTCTAATTCATATTTGCTTTATACTAACGACGCTTGTGCATCCTTGCTTCAGTCTAATGACGCTTATAGCAACTTCACAGACGATATAGTGGCTTCTGGGGGTATTTTGGACGACTTTAGCGAACAACCGATCTTGGAGAATACTTTTGACGAATTCAACAATGGACAACCGAATTCGGAGAATGCTTTCGACAAATTCGACAAGGAGAATGAATTGGATTTTGAGGACGAAACTGAAGATGCTGAACCTAAATATTCTTTAACTGTGAATCAGGCTTTTGGAACTTGGAAGGCAGTTGATGAGTAAGTAGTTGTGAAAGGCTTTTTTTTTTTCTTATTTGTGAAAGGCTTTTTTTTATACACACGGAAAGTTTTAATATTTCTATACTTTTAGATGGTTGGAATGTTATAGTCAAGAGAAGGGCTTCGCATTCTGTATAACCCATAGCGAAAATGATAAGGAAGATAAGGAACCTCGGCGCCGGGTATATACATGTACAAAGGGACAAGCATACGTGCCACGCAAAAAGGCACATGTTCTTAGCAAAAGAGACCGAGGTCACAAATCAGTATGGTGCCCTTATCATGTAAATGTATACCGGTGGAAAAATGATAATGAAATCCGTATTTTTAATATCATCAGTACACCTAATCATGAGATGGTTCCAAATATTAAAATGGTTGAATCAAGGTATCGTTGGCTAACTAAAGAAATGCAAGATGATGTTAGGCTACTTGCTTCTTGTGGTGTACAGGCTGGTGCGATTATTGAGGTTCTACAACAAAAATATCCCGAAAAATACGTTCACCCCCATAATGTGTACAATATGATACAAACTATTCGTTATGAGAAACGTGTTACAGGTGATGCGGGTAGCACATATTTGGAATTAATTAAAAAGCAGCGTGATGAACCTGGTTACTATGTTAATGCAAAATTTGAAGAGACTGACAATCATTTAGTCGGCCTTATGTGGATACGGCCAAGTCAGATTCAATTATGGGGCAGGTTCCATGACGTAGTTCTCATGGATACTACTTTCAAAACCAATAGATATTCGATGATGCTTTGTATGTTGATAGTCATTGACAATCACAATCGCTCACATCTAGTAGCAACTGCAGTGATTTCAGATGAGACAAGTGATACCTTTTCATGGATTTTTAACAACTTACTCAAAGCATCAAATGGCTTGGCTCCGAATGTGTTATTCACGGATGCTGACTGTGCGATGGTTGCCGCAGTAAGCGAGACATTACCGAATATGAAACATCATCTTTGTCTTTATCATATTCAAAAAAATCTTGAAAAGCGTTTTTTAGGTAAGTATAAAGGTGAGAAATAGAAAGAATTTTTTAAGGAATTCTGTCATGTACGAAATAGTCGTGTGGAAACAAAATTTGAGGAACGCTGGATAAATTTGCTGCAAAAGTATCCTGATTCAGCACCATATTTAGAAAGGCAGCTTTATCCTTGCAGAGAATCGTGGGTGCTTTGTTTTACGCATAGATCATTTAACGTGGGAGTACAAACTACGCAGAGGGTTGAGTCATACAATGGAATCGTAAAAAAACATGTTAATGGTTCATCATCATTATTTGAATTGAGTAATACTATTGAGAGATTACTTCTTAAGGAGGATCGATATCAACATTTCAACGAAGTTTCAGGTGTATTACCAGAAATTCACAATAAAGATTATTATAACATATATTTTGACTTAGTTGATAAATCATGTCAAAAGTTTTTAACAATAGCAATACTTAAAATTCAACGGCGTGAAATGAATCTCAGTATCCATTATCGTGCACAGTTAATCAATTCGACAGATGGGCTTTAGGTATGTTTTATATTTTTAAGTACGAGAATTTACAGTAGTTAGAATATGACTATTGTTGAGGGTTATAATAAGTAAACTTAACCTTTTTCCAATAGGTAACGGATGAGGTATCTGCTGGAATGTTTGCTGATGACATGTTTGATGCATTCGTAATCGAACTTGAAGAGCTAGTGTGTGACTTGGATCATGTGCATATTCGTGAAATCTGGAAAGTTTCATCAATTGATATGAAAAGTCAACATTTTGTAGTACTCTATGACGATACTTCACATCTATGCACCTGTTTAACATTGATTAATCGTGGAGTTGTCTGCAGACATTTTTTCGTAATAATGCTGGTGTCAAAAGTTGCTAAATTTCATGTGGGGCTTATATCGCATAGATGGTATCTGGATAAGGTCGTTTGTGAAGAAATAAATGTTACTAATGAGCTGGCAATTTCAATAATATATAATGAGAATTTTGGTTCATTTGAGCATACTAATATTCAGGTTAATTTCGCACATCTTGACAATATTCGAGGTAGTCACGTTTTTACTCATAAGGTTCGTAAGGAGATGTCACTTAAGCAGCGGTGGGGCAAAGGATTCAGCATTATGAAGAAAACTCTTGATCTAGCGATTGCAACAGGACGGTACGATGAATTATGTGAAATGCATCTTAACCTAGTAAAAGAAATAGAAATGGAAATCCTTACCGATGATGCTCATGACATGGATGATGATAACGTTGACAAGTTCACACTTTCAATTAGTAATCCAGTTGGCATTCGTCCGAAGGGCCGGAGACGAAAGAACGCAAACGAGACACTTGTCAACACAAATAAAGTGTCAAGAATAGGTAATGCATGTTAAAAGTGAATTGTATAGGCTCTTTATAGTAAATTTGAATATAACTGATCAAATTTATACATATGTCCTAGGACTGATAAGAATTTGACTAGTCAAGAAGAGGTATTTTATCGTTGCAATATTTATGATCAAGTGAGGTTCAATGTTTGTATATGCAACTCTCACATTTCGAATAATTAGATGGTTGGCACGAATAAAGGAGGTGGTAATGATCAAAATAAGCATTCTTTATCAACTACAAGTCACAATGTTGAAAGTTTAAACTCAGAAAACATGGGTAGGTGAAGGTCTATATTATCAAGTAGAATGGTAATATTAATACTAATAATTATAATAATTATGTATTGCAGTTGACCATGCTCATCATGAAAATAGGCCTCGGCACTGTGGTGCTTGTGGTCAAATAGGCCATAATGCTCGTACATGCAACTTGAATTTTTCAAGTAAAGACCATCGTGAAAATGTGAATCAATTACCATTACAAATTGTAGACGATAATGTTGGAGGTAGGTTAAGTTTTATAGTAAGCTATTATAGTGATTAATAATACTAATCATTGAATTTTATTAGTTAATGATCACACTAATAATAAGGTTCGCCACTGTGGTACTTGTGGGCAAGTAGGTCATAACGCTCGTACATGTAACTCTAAAAGTAGCTCGTAAGTATAGGTGGGTGGCATGTTTGAATACTAGTTGAATGATGTGCGTTTATATGATTATTGCATGCTGTATTTATCTGCATTCGCTTTTATTGATTATTCTGTTATTTGAATGATGTTTGCTCATGTGTGTGTTTATTGTGTGTGTGAGTTTAGAACCGGTTTTATTTTCATGTGTTAACCTGGTTCTAATATATGAAAGCAAAATCGATTCTAAACTCTAGTATGTGAATGGTTTTTGCGTATTACATCGTTTTTTTAGCATGATGTTTGCATATGTATGTATATTTATTCGCGTAATATTGTATAAAACATTAATTCTAATAAATATGAGATCGGATGAAGAATATATACAGTAATGCCCGATTTATAAAATAACTGTAGTTGTTTTGCACCGATTGTACGTTTTTATAGATTTTCTCATTTCATAAGTTTTGTATATAGTATTTAAGGTTAGGGTTTGGGAAGAGTTTTAGAGTTAGGGTTTGGGTTCAAGAAGGGTTTTAGAGCTAGACTTAGAACATCATGTACTAATTATTTAGCTAGTTTTTGAAATAATATAACATAGATAGTAAAACACTATAAATCAAATTAAAACAATAAGCAAAATTATATTATATAGTTAGCGATTATGGTGTTTAACACCATAGGTGTTTAGCACCTATGGTGTTAAACACCTATGGTGTTCAGCACCTATGGTGTTAAACACCATAGGCGCACTTTAGTAAACTTGATTAATTATATACAATTAATTAATAATAATACTTTTAAATTATATTCAATTTAATAAATTAATTAATAAAATACTTTTAAAACTATATAAAGCTATATCTTAGATTTTTAAATTAATTTTTTTTAATTGATTTAATTAAAATTATTTTTAGAATTGTATAAGTTATATTGGTTTTTTTTATCTTTTTTTTATATATTGGGAGGGCTTTTTTGTTTTTTTTTATTCATTTTTTTGGTTTTTTTTATTTATTTTTTTCTTACTTGTTTTTTTTATTTAGTTTTTTTTTTGTTTTCTTTTGAATATTATTAGATTTAATTATTTATATGTGATTTTTAATATGGTTTAAAAAATATTCTTATAATGTTAATTTGCTATTATGTAGTTTTTTTTTTGTATAGCAGATATAGATATTGAGATGTAATTATTAGAATTGAATTATTATATATGATTTTTAACTTGGTTTGAAAAATATTCTTATAATGTTAACTTACTTGCTATTATATAATTTTTTTGTATAGCAGATACAGATATTAAGATGTAGTTATTTATTGTATATAATTTTTAACTTGCTTTTAAAAAATATTCTTATAATGTCAACTTACCAACATGTATTATGTAATTTTTTTTTTTGTGTAGCAGATACAGATATTGAGATATAGTTATTAGAATTAAATTATTATATGTGATATTTAACTTGGGTTGAAAAATATTCTTATAATATTATTTACTTACTATTATGTAATTTTTTTTTGTGTAGTAGATACAGATATTGAAATGTAGTTATTAGATTTAAATTTTGTATGTAATTTTTAACTTGTTTTTAAAAATATTTTTATAATATTTAACTTACCAACTTGTATTATGTAGTTTTTTTTTGTATAGCAAATACAGATATTTGGATGTAGTTATTAAATTTGAATTACTATGTGATTTTTAACTTGAGGTGAAAAATATTCTTATAATATTAAGTTACTCAATGTTATGTAATTTTTTTTTGTATATCAAATATAGATATTGAGATATAATTATTAGATTTGAATTATTGTATGTGATTTTTAACTTGTTTTTTAAAAAATATTCTTATAATATTAAATTACTGATTTGTATTATGTAGTTTTTTTTTGGGTAGCAGATACAGATATTAAGATGTAGTTATTAGATTTGAATTATTGTATGTGATTTTAAACTTGCTTTGAAAAATTTTCTTATAATGTTAATTTACCAACTTTGTGTTATGTATTTTTTTTTTGTATATTAGATACAGACATTGAGATGTAGCTATTAGATTTGAAATATTGTACATGATTTTTAATTTGGTTTGAAAAATATTCTCATAATATTAACTTACTCGCTGATATTTAATTTTTTTTGTGTATATAGCAGATACAGATATTAAGATATAGTTATTAGATTTGAATTATTGTATGTGATTTTTAACTAGTTCTAAAAAATATTGGTTTTTTATTCATTTTTTTTTTTTTTTTTTTTTTTTTTTTAGTACAATGACTTTAATACTTATCAGAGATGAAATTCACTAGGGTGCTATATCTCAAAAAAAATACTAAGTAATTAAAGTTAGAGTGTCTAAATAAAAATGTTCAGGACTCTTCTGCATTATGTTATATAAACTCCTTTATATTAAAATTGCACCCTAGCCATAAAAATTCTTAGGCTAGTGAATTTTACTACCGGTGAATCTAAAATAAATTCTTTTTAGTATATCATTTTTTTGGTTTTTTTTTTTTTTTTTTTTTTTTTTTTACGTATTAGTTTTTATTTATTGTTTTAAAGTGCTCTCAAGCATTATTCCAATATTATTAGCAAGTGATACCAATGCCACTCCAGCAAAATTATATTTACATACAATTTTTATTGAAAATTTGAATATGTAATTTATAATGTAATTGAATTTTCTCTTCGATTGATTAATTAGTAATTGTAATGGCACACATTTAATAGAATTAATTGAAATAAACATTGCAATCAACATTTGAGCGGTTCTTTTATTATTCGTCAAAAATAAAAAATAAAAATAAATGAAAGTAAAAAAATGAAAAATAAAAAAAACAAAACCAACCATTAATAAGAAGCAAATGCTGTGAATTATCGAAAATATTTTGACAAAGCATCAACTTCAGCAGCCCCTGTTGCTCGTTTACTGACTTTAATTATAATATGTTATTCCAACAACAATATCCCAGAAATATAATAATTAATAATTTTTTTTTTTTTTTTTTTTTGTAAGGCATCAAATAATTTAGAAACTATTTCTAATGATAATTTAGCTTCGAATACGGATTCTATCTCTTCTGAAGTATTAAACAACAAAGCATATTGTTTTTTAACTCTCCTGGTTTTTTTATAATTCATAAAAACGTCTAGTGCAAGAAGTAAAATAATAATTTGTTGATGATCCATGGCAATATTACTTGTGCAGTCTTTTTGCAAACTTAATTAATTGTAAAATTTTCAAGACAGGTATGAAAAAAAGGAGATTTGTTGTAAAACATTTGTTGATTTACAGTAAATAACACATTCATTTCAATTTTTTTATTAATAAAAATGTAATATTAATATAATAAGCTTTGTCAATTATGTATATTCATCTTAATGATAAATATACTTGACTAATTTAAACTATTTTCAGCTAAATAAAATTTTATTTCCTGACACTTTTTGTCTATTTATTAAGGTGCTTGAGAACACTTTTAGATTTTCAGTTTCATTTTTTTTAAATTATCATTTTATTTTTATTTTTTTATTTTTAAACTATTTGTTATTTTTAACCTTTTTATTTTTTTGACTATCATTACTTTTTTTTTAAATTATTTATTTAAATCATTTTCTTTTAAATTATGTTTCTTTGAATTATTAGTGGTTTTTTTTACCTTATTTCTCCTTTCTATTTTTTCCCTTTAATTCTTTCATTAATTCTTTCTTTAATTCTTTTAGTTTTCTTTGTTATTTTTTTATCTGTTATTTTCTTTTTTCTTTTTGTCTTTATGGCTTCTCTTTGCATTCCGGTAGATAGATAGGTAGATGTCTTTATAGTGGGTGGGTAGGTAGATAGATAAGTGTATTATAATTGGTGAATAGATGGATGGGGTAGATGTCTTTACGATGTGTGGTAAGTGAGTATTTTTGTGGCTTTATGGTGGATGGGTAGATAGTTTTCTATGTGTGGGTGGGTATATAAGTGTCTTTATGATGGGTAGGTAATTATGTGCCTTTATGGTAGTAGGTTACATTACATAGATCACATTACTTTTGCCACTTGGCAGAGTTTTAAACTCCACTTTAGCAGAGTTTGAATTTTGCCAATTTTGCAGGAATGCGAAAGGTGAAAATTACATGATGCCACCACTAACTAAGGCAGACTTTAAAATCTCTGATTAACGGAGTTGCTTATAATGCACTAATCTTTGTCACTATTTAAAAAAAGTAACGGGCCCCATGAAATACCTGCTAATGCAGGGGTATTTCATGAGGCCCGTTACTTTTTTTCAAATAGTGACAGAGATTAGCATATTATAAGTAGGAAGATTTGTTTAAAATTTTAAAAAAATTAATTAAAAAAGATTCAGTGCATTTCTATTAAGTCACCCCAGATATTAAAATTAGAGATATTTACACTCTATACTGTACTTATCTGGTCAAACTAATCTGCATTATTTGGAAATATTAATGCTAGATTATTATACAACTAATGTAGATAAGAAGCAAACCAATAAATAATCACAAACTTAGAAACTAAGGGTACTTTCATTGTGATTAGTTAGCTACCAAGTTAATGCATAAGTACTAAACAATCCTTACTGTAATTTTGCTAAAGATTTATAACATGAATGCTAATAATAAATTTTAGTCAATCAGAACAAGTTTATTACAAAAAAGGTTTTTATATATTGCGATAATGAACCCGCTTCTGGTTAATCTACTTTTCACCAATTAAAAATTGAGCTTCGACCTAATAATTTATGTGCTTAAAAGAACCTTAAATAAATATAGTAAAAATTCAAATGAGAAATTAATTAATATATTGATTGATAATAATTAATTAATTAAATAAGAAAAAGTCCCAAAGACACTTAATTAAAATATCATATGAAACCCTGAATTTTTAGGGCTGTTGATGTTTGTATAGCTTATTTAAATACTATATTGATTTATAAAATAAAATCACAATATACAAATATAAAATTTATAATTTTTTTTTATTATTTAAATATTTATTTTATTTAAAATTAGATATTAAATTATCTATTTTAAACCTCCTAACCTAGTATACTTCTGAGCAAATTCAATTATCAAGTAATTAGCAATATACTAAAAAGACTCTCTAATTATTTGGTTTAATAAAAATTTAATTTTAAAACACTATTTAGATAGATTATATTATTTTGCTAATAATCATTTTATAGATCTTTTAGTTTATAATTTACGAACAAATTTATTTGTTATTTTATAGATAATCAAGTTACAAACAAGTATTATAAAAAGTTTATTTTACTAATAAATATAATTAATTTTATAGTGCACATATTTTAAATTCGCGCACATATATTTTATAGTACAATAAAATTTATAGTGCACTAATTTTTAAAATTATTCACATAAATTAAGTGTACAATGTGCACAATATTCACATGTTTTTGAAGTGAGATTTTATACATTGGTCACTGGAATAGTGAGTAAGTTATAAAAGATAGGAGTCATGATAATTCAAAGTGAATTATATTGTATTTTATTAATGATTTTCTGTTACAAAAATGCTCAAATAAATTCAGAACTATGTGTACAAAGTCTAGAAGATTACAATATATAAATTAGGAACTATATTTTTGGATCTATTTATATAATAATAATTAATATTAATATTTAGAATAATAGTTATATTCCTTTGGCATTGATTAACTGTTATTATGTACAATTAAGAATTTATTTATATAGTCTTTTTTTAAAAAAATAAATAACTCATATCTCCGTTTTCATCCTTAATTTTGACCTTGTGTTTTTAGATTTAGAACTATGCATTCATTAGTGCTAATTGATTTTATATAGTCTCAATAAATGTTATTTAATCATTAATCAATGATATTTTTGGTTATTAAAATAGTAACAGTTATCATGGTTGAAATCATTATAAATCTAATACAAGCTAATCTACCTTGGTTACATAAGATGGTGGCACATTCGCGCCACCCATTGCACTAGTTTTTCTTATAGAAAAAGTCAAGGTATTTTTATCCAATCAGATGCTCAGAATTGTGAACACCACTTGACTCGTTATTAACCTTAACTATTTTTTACCTGGTAATCATGTGGTTATTTTGCTCTTTGAGTTTTAGCACTTTCAAGTTTTTAGTAAATAATTTTGTGTAAACAATTAAATATCCCTATAAGAAAAATGTACCAGATCGGCACGGGATTTGTATGGGTATGGTCTGAGTTGGTACGGATTTGGTGGCCGTGTGGGACCGTATGCCTGTGCCCGTGCCAATTGGACAGTAAATGGCTCGGGTTTTGCAGTAGTTTACTTGTCGAATCTGGGTTTGGCACGGGTAGTGATACGTAAATTCACGCACCACTGCGATAACTAATACAAACATGTGGATTAATGATTAAATTATAAAAGTTACACTAGTAATCAACAAGTAAAATTTTGTATGGAGTTTTTTTTGTTAAGCAGCTTCATCAATGAAATTACGTGATAAGGCATTTTTTTAAAAAAAAAATTATTTATTGATATTTGCACTCGCAAAACGAGCCAACGCGCAACGTACACATCTGAACCAGTGTTGGAAATCTGTTTTGAGATTTATGTTCTCATGAGAACATATTTATTTGATTTAGTGTTCTCAAAATTTTATTTATGTTCTCAACATTTAACCGCTAAAATTGTTGATATCCCTATTTTCGGATATTATCGGACATTTGTTCAATTTTTATCCCAACCCTTCTCGTATTTTATGTTCATTCATTTTCCTTTTGGGTAAATTCGGAATTTCTATTTCCATCTGGAATTTTGCTATTATACTTAGAGTACATGCTTTTTCAGCATCATGTTCTCAGAATTTTTTTCATAGTGAACATATACAGAATATCAAATGTTCTCAAATCTAAAAGGATGTTCTCATGAGAACATGAGAACATAAGATTTCCAACACTGATCTGAACGTGCTGTTCCGCATGACGTGATAAACGTGCCACCCTTGCTGTAATGTCCGTGCCATTCCGTAAACCGTGCCTGCGTGCTACACGATCCATTGGGATGTTTCATATACTAATTAATCATAATTATGTAAGGTGCGGTAATAATGAGATTACTGTATGCATAAGTAAATTATAATAGAAAGAGGCGATCAAAATTGATTCAATTCGCGTATTAACTATTGTTTTCTAGCGATTTTTGTGGCAAACAATTGCCATAGTATAATCAAAAGTAGTTACAGTTCAAAATTTTTGATTATTCGAACATTTTTAACTATTACATTAGCAGGAAAATTTTCTTTTGTTTTACTATATATACTCCAGCTAAAAGATGTGCGTGCGTTATGAATTGGCCTTAATAACCAAAATTTTGAAACTGTAATTATGTAAAGAAGGCTTTCTTTATATAGTATATAAAGTTTATTATAAGTTTTGGCGACAGTTTTAATGCTGAATCCTTTTAAGATTCAGCTTTGTTATCGTTAGATGTTCAATTAAAAAAGTCATGATATTTGTTACGAATTGGCTTGCTTTGATAACCGGAATTTTGTCGTAATTGCGTAAAAAAGTTTTATCATATTATATGTAAAGTTTTAACCTTTTTGCGTTAGTTTTAATGCTGAGATTATTGCCGGGTATATCGGAATCTTCATAATACATAAAAAATCCGTACTAATAATTTTTATTATAATACCTTATATAGACTTACTCCAACGATCCGTGCCATTTCGTTCATTCTCGGTACCACAACCTGGACCACTTATAAGGTGAATTTTTGCCAATTTTATCGGTTATTGTAAAAATTTATTTATCGTAAAAAATTTATTGTATTGTAAAAATTTATTGTATTGTAAAAATTTATTGTATTGTAAAAAATTTAATTAAATACATATCTACTTTAATTCATAAAAATGTTAATGTATTTGTGACTATGGACTAAATGCTGGAAAAGAAACGAAATTGACGATTTTTTCAAAAGAAATTTTACATCAAAACAGTATAACTTCGATTGGTAAAAAAATTAGTGACTATATTAAGTTTGACTATATTGAGGGTGACTATGTCGAGGTCAGACTGTAGTATTATTAAAAAATCGTTACTTATATCCACAAAAAATCTAGTAACAAACATAATTTAGCATTCTAATAGAAGACAGCTTCACAATAAGGTTCAGTATCACACTTTTAGTCGCGCCTGTACTCATCACGCTTGTACTCAACGGCTTCACGTTTGTACTCATCACGCTTGTATTCATCGGCTTCACGTTTGTATTCATCACGCTTGTACTCATCGGCTTCACGCTTGTATTCGTCACGCTTGTACTCGTCACGCTTGTACTCGTCACGCTTGTACTCGTCACGCTTGTATTCGTCACGCTTGTATTCATCGGCTTTACGTTTGTACTCATCACGTTTGTATTCATCACGCTTGTACTCATCGGCTTCACGTTTGTACTCATCACGCTTGTATTCATCGGCTTTACGTTTGTACTCATCACGCTTGTACTCATCGGCTTCACGTTTGTACTCATCACGCTTGTACTCATCAGCTTCACGCTTGTACTCATCAGCTTCACGCTTGTACTCATCACGCTTGTATTCATCGGCTTCACGTTTGTACTCATCACGCTTGTATTCATCGGCTTTACGTTTGTACTCATCACGCTTGTATTCATCGGCTTTACGTTTGTACTCATCACGCTTGTACTCATCGGCTTCACGTTTATACTCGTCACGCTTGTATTCATCGGCTTCACGTTTGTACTCGTCACGCCTGTACTCATCACGTTCGTAGTAGTAGTAAGGTTCACGCTTGTACTCATCACGCTCGTAGTAGTAGTAAGGCTTGGCGTCACGCTTGTACTCATCACGCTCGTAGTAGTAGTAAGGCTTGGCGTCACGCTTGTACTCATCACGCTCGTAGTAGTA